CCCCCTCGGCAGCTCAGGCTCAGCGTTTGGCCTCGCTCCCCAGCCATGCTGCTGCTCCTGCTGCTCCTGGAGGCCCCCCGGCTGTGGCTGGCCAGCGGCTCTCACCAACCCTTCTACAACGGCTTCTACTACAACCGCATCATGAACGACAAGGAAAATGGGCAGGAGAAAGGTATATTGGGATTGGCAGGGCTGGGGGAAAAGGGGGTTGGCAGGTCAGGGCAAGGGGTTGAAGTCCCCTCCTGCCCCTGGGATGGGGCTGGGACCCATTTCTTGGGGGGGATGTGGGACCCGGAGGAGCAGGCAGGGTGGTCCAGGGATGCTCAGGGGATGTTCATGGGATGCTCAGGCAGAAGAGGAGGTGGGTGGAGGGGGGGAGTGGAGCAGCTGCAGGGAGATTTGGGGACACTGCCCAGTCCTGGATCCTGACCCACACTTCACGCCTTCTCTTTCTGTTCCCAGTGGTTTACTTCAATGGGGCCAGGCTGGTGGTGGAGACCCCCAAAGACCCCGTCTACAGCTCCAATGGTGCCAATGTCACCCTGCCCTGCCACTACCATTACGAGCCTGACCAGGAGGCCAAGCGCAAGATCCGCATCAAGTGGTCCAAGCTGCGGGATGACTACACCAAGGAGCAGGACGTGCTGGTGGCCATTGGCAAGATCTATGTGGCCTTTGGGGACTTCCGGGGCCGTGCCCACCTCCGCCAGGCTGGCCGGCACGAGGCTTCGCTGGTTGTCAGTGATGTGCGCTTGCAAGATGATGGCAAATACCGCTGCGAGGTCATTGATGGGCTGGAGGACGAGAGCAACGTGGTGGACCTCCGGCTGCAAGGTGGGGGCACAGTAGGGACTGCGTGATGCCCTTCGCCAAGCCAGTGAGCCTGGCCTTCCCAAGGCACCCTGTCCTTGGGGGAGGTAGCAAGGCAGGGGGATTGGGGAGCCCAGTTGTGGGCAGAAAGGGGCTGGGATGCTTGGTGTGACAGGGTGGTGGCTCAGGGCTGTCTGACTGTGGGGTCTCAGTAGCGAGTGAGCCCAGAGCAGCCTGCCCAGCTGGGATGCTGGGGATGCTACTGTAGAGTCAGAGTTGGGGGTGACCCCCGTGGCCACAGCATTTTCTGCCTTCACCCACCCATCTTCCTGCTGTGCTGCATCATGTGCAGCCATCCCCTAACCTCCCAGCTCTGTGTATCCCCATGCATCTTGTGATGAACCTTGGTGACTGGTCCAACCCCTCTTGCTCACTTGCCACGAGGGACCTGACTCACCCCTGGCTCCACTGCCAAGCTCAGAGCTGCGGAAATGTCATAGAATCATAGAATCACTTTGGTTGGAAAAGACCTTTAAGATCATCGAGTCCAACCTTTAACCTAACCCTGCCATCCCACCACTAAACCATGTCCCCCA